CTCCAATGGAAAGAAACACATTGTCGATGCCTCTCTGTTACAGCTTGCATTTGGCTTATTGATTAGTGCGCTGCGTTGTACTGGGTATATCGGACAATGGTAGCCAACTGTCCCAGACGTTGAAAGTGTTTTGTTAGTGTCGCAGATTTACGAGAGCTTAAGCTAGTTTTCATTCCTTCTGGCTGGGCTGAAAGCACTTACTATTGTTGTCCAATACGCTGCAAATGAACATGGTTCAAAAATCACAAAGAGAGTGATATGGAATTACAGAACTGAAAATAGGGTACTGATTGGGTACAAATTCATCAAGCCTCTTTATTTTGCAACAAGCTTTTTATTGGAGTGTCGACACAGCTTGCTTTGGAAAAAGCAAAAGCAACTGTGAGCAAATGATGTAGTAGGAAAGTTGACCTCCAGTTCATTTCAGTTGTGCCCAGCTAGCTAACTGTACATCTCCTTCCTTCCAACATGTATTTTTTAGAAAGTTTCAGTTAGTGAGTCATTAGTTCTTTGTGCAGAACACATAATCTGCTATGGACTGAATATGTATATCATCCCGCAAATTAATATGTTGAAATTCTAATTCCCAAAGCGATGATGTTAGAAGGTGGAGCCTTTGGAAGCTGATTAGGTCCTGAGGGTGGTGCCCTCTTTAAGAAAAAAGGGTTGGTGGGGCATGGTGGCTCACCCCTGTATTTCCAGCACTTTGGGAGGCTGAGGCAGGAGGTTCAGGAGTTCGAGAACAGCTTGCCCAATGTGGCAGTGGCAGGTGCCTGTAATGCCAGCTATTTGGGAGGCTGAGGTATGAGAATCCTTTGAACCTGGGAGGCGGAGGTTGCAGTGAGCCGAGATCGAACAACTGTACTCCAGCCTGGGTGACAAAAGTGAAAATCTCAAAAAAAAAAAAAAAAAAAAAGACTTGAGGGAACTCAGTTGTCCCTTCCATGTGTGAAGACAGAGTGAAAAGGCAGTCATCTAAGAAACAGAAGGCAGGTCCTCACCAGACACAGAATTTGCTGGCACCTTAATCATGGATCGCTTAGCCTCCAGAACTGTAAAAAAGAAATTTCTGTTGTTTAGAAGCCACCCAGGCTATGATATTCTGCTATGGAAGTCTGAAAAAAGTAAGACAAATCCATTGCTCAGTTTTTTCAGCAACTTAACATAACTCATCTTCTGTTAAAAATGGTGAGGCCAGAATCTGAACCCTGGAAATATGGCTCCTAAAGTTGTTCTCTAATTCACTATGTGGAGCTGTCTCTGACTGGGTAAATGTTTCAACTACAATAATTTCAGAATTCGTTTTATAAGACACGGTCTTTGGCATGTATTTCTTCTGATGAAGATTCATCAACTCCCTTTTTCTTTTCTAAAACACACATGTCAAATATCATTCTCCCTACAACGGACTATTTCATTCTTTCCTCCACAATCTAGAAAGTGCACAGGAATGCATGGTCATTCAAAGGATGACTTTAAACCTGGTCTGACATTGAGTTTAACAGGGTGTAACAAAAACGTGAGTGCAGTGGCCTAACCAAATAGTGGTTTACTGTTCTCAAATGTCCAGAAGTAACGAAGAAGCTGGTGAAGGTGTGGTGTAGCTGCTAAGGAATTTGCCAAGTACCCTGGCTCCCTCTGCTTTTACAATCACCGTCTTTAGCACGTGACTTTGATTCTCACATTGGCTTTCTCATCGGAAGGTATCACATCTATGTGCAAAACAGGAGGAAGAAGAAGGGCAAAGGACAAGACAAAAAAACCAAGCAGGCATTTACCAGATGAAACTGTCCCCTTTAATTGGTTTTCCAGAAAGACTCACTCTCTGATAACATTTAAGTCTCACTGGCCACAACCGTGTCACATGGTCACTCTTACCTACAAAAGGATCCATGAAGCTAGCATTTTAATATGGGCAAAATTCTTCCCCTTCAAAAATCAGGGCCCTGGTCATAAGAAAGAGAGGGAGAAAGGCTACTGGGCAGGTAACAGGCAGGTTGTGCCATGTCTGTAATATATCGTAAGCAAACACTTGCACTTTTAGTGGTAACTGATGATTCTGCAGTATACTCTGTTACTTATCACAGGAGGCCAGTGAGACACTGACTCTGTGGTTGAGGATGTCTGATCTACAGGATAAAGGCCAAATCCCTGAACAAAATATGTAAGAAAGGATCTTACCAGTTTAGTACTAGCCTACTTTTTAACATTCGTGTTGCACCATCTCTAGCCCTTTGCTTGAACCACATGTAACTTGTCTTCATTTTTTAATTAACTGACTTTTGTGCCACTGTTTTTTGCATATGTCCTTTTCTTTGTTCAGAAGACCCTCCTCACCCTCTCCAACTGGTAAATAATACTTATTTTGCAAGACTCTGTGTGAATACCATCACATTTCTGGAAACATCCTTACCTCTCTCAGTCATATCTATTTCGGTGTTTTGTATACAACTCCATTAGCTCACTTGTAATTGTTTTTTTTCATATTTGTCACTTCTGACAAACACTATGGCCTCTTAGAGAACAAGGACTATAATTTATCCAACTTTTTCTACCCAGTGCTGCTGCAGTTCTTGGAGTATGCTCAAGACACCTGCTTAGGGGAAAATAAACTGAGTGTTACCTCCAGTGTATAGGTGACCTACAAGGAGCTGAAGTGACCTGTTTTCATCATAGCCAGTAAAAAATGCACTGATTTGAACCCCTTAAATCTAGATCTCAGTGGATTAATGGCTGTCAGCGGAAATATGGAAGAGACAGATAGTGGGGTTTTTTTTGGTCTTAGTTGATGATAATAACATAATTCAATAATTTAAAAGTGTTTTCTTTAAACCTTCCATTGCCCATTCTTTAAGAGTTATTCAATTTTTTCTTTCTTTGTGCACAGTTTGAGACACAGTTTGTGTCCTCAAAAAGGCTACCAGGCTTTAGATTATATATCTGAGTAAGATCATATCATGTTTGTCTTTCTGTGTGAGGCTTGTTTCACTTAACACAATGTCTTCCAGACTCATCCATGTTGCTGAAAATGACAGAATTTCTTTCTGTTTTATGGTTGAATAGTATTCCACACGCACACACATATATACACATGTATATACACACATACATATATACATATATATATACACATCCCTATATATACACACACATGCATACAATAACATATAGAATAATATATATGTGTGCATGTGTGTATATATATGTAAGATATATATGTGAGATAGATAGATATTCTTCTGTAGTTGAACATTTGGGTAGATTCCATATCTTGTCCGTTGTGAATAACATAGAAATTGCAGGAAACATGACCAAGGTGGCTTCAGTAAACACAGGAGTGCAGATATCTCTTCAAAATACTGATTTTATTTACTTTGGATACATACCCAATAGTGGTATTGCTGAATCGTATGCTAGTTCTATTTTTAATTTTTTGAGGGACCTCCATATTGAGTAGAATAGTGGTTACCAGGGGCTGGGCACGGTGGTGGGAAGGGAGAAGCAGGAGAGGACAATCAGTGTGTACAAAGTTACAGTTAGGAAGAATAGGTCCTGGTGCTCTGTTACACAGTAGGGCGACGAGAGCAAATAATGTAATGCACATTTCAAGATAGCTAAAAAAGAATATTTTGAATATTATTCCAAAGAAATGATAACTATTTAAAATGATGAATATGGTAATTACCCTGATCTGGTCATTATGCAATGTACGCACGCGCTGAAACATCATGTTATATCCCATAAACATGTCTAATGATCGTATGTCAATTATAAATAAATTAATAAAAACATGACCGTCTAAGGAAAAAAAAGACATTTGAACTTAAAGTGATTTGAATAATGTGGAAAGAAATTACTAGTTTATTAACTTTCAGGCTCTTCAGTGGCTTGGGTGTTTATACTTGGCAAATACTTAGTACTTGTCATTAGAGGAAGTTTAGGAGCAATAAAGAATTTGGTGACAATACAAAAGGAAAAGTGAGCCATGAAAAAACCCACTAAATTGAACAAAGGGTTAAAGTAGACATGGTGAATACTTGGTATGATGCTACAGCCCCTCCCTTCCTTCCCTGAGTATATGGAAGACAGACATCACCAATCAATCAAAACACATTTTCCACCTGACCCCAGCCATGGCCTTAGAATTCATTTCAACACTATGATACTCCAGGTATCTTCTATCAACAAAGGAGGGAAGACATTCCTATCTTTCCCTCATCACTACATTCTCCATAAAGACTGGTTCATGTCGATACAGTACCTGTAACAGGGCAGAGAGTGTTTTCCTAACTCCCTCTGGAAAATGAAGCAAACATTGTGACTCCAAGATTGAGCTTCCAGGTATTTAACTCTTCTGTCAAATCTCTCTCATGGACTGGGTTCAGCATCTTACAGTCATGGAGTTCTAAAGACACTGCTTCTGTTACTTGCCTTCTATTTCTGCTAGGGAATGAGAGGGACCATCCCACGCACAGACTTAACAATTAAGGAGGCAGAGAGCTAACATGTTCAGAATGGCAGGCAATATAGTGAATGCTTTATATTTACATCTTTTTGTTTTTTATAACAATCACATAAGGTCAGTATTATTGTTTCCATTTTATAGATAGGAGATAGTGTCAAAGAAATGAAGTCATTTGCCTGAGATCCCAGAGGTGGTGAGAGGTGAAGATAAAATTCAGTCTCAGATCTGTGATATTGAACTCTGGAGAGTTAGTTGTTTCTTTGGCGATCTGGATAAAATCTGCTTCTTGGGTTCTTTTCAACCACCACATAGTTACATTTTTTATACTAGCCTTGAGCTGTACCTTCATACTTTCTTGAGTCTTGCAGACCACAGAGGCAGATGGAAAATGGGTAAACGTAGATCAGATATGGGTTAGGAAAAATCCGTTTGAAACTTCATGCCCATCATGTGAAAATCTGGTCCCCCGGAGACCATCTTGATGGAAATGGAAAACACATTTGGGTTTAATTTTCTTCTGTCCCCTTTTCGGCAGGACATCGCCCATATCAGGTGATCACCGCTCGAGTTCATCCAGGAGAGAGCAATGCCAGCTGGGTGATGAAGGGTACCTTGGAGTTCCTGGTCAGCAGTGACCCTGTGGCGAGGCTCTTGAGGGAAAACTTCATTTTCAAGATCATACCCATGCTCAACCCAGACGGTGTCATCAACGGCAAGTATGTCAGGCACCTGGCCTAGCCAGACCTGCACTTATGCCACCATAGTAACACCGTGATTTCACCCAGTGGGCGTGGTTGGAGAGGCCTTGGTACTCCGTCAAAAATAAACCCTTGGTTTTCTGTTCTCTGGTACAAGTAACAGCATACTTGCCATACACACTGATGTCAGTCTCATGGTTTCTTTGAATAGGAAGGTATAGAATTGAGGCCTACGTAGGACTGCTTGAGACCAGCAGTTCAAGACCAGTCTGGGCAACACGATGAGACCGCATCTCTACAACATAAATAAATTTAAAAAATATAGGAATCATAGGCAATTAATAGCAGAGGAAATAATCTAGTTTAACTTTAAAAAGGAGGAAACTGGTGTCCAGAGTAATCAAATGACTTGTCCAGATCACACGGTGGGTTAATGACAAAGTCAGGGCTCAAACTGTGATTTCTTCAGAGTAAGGCCAATGCTTGTATTTACTTACTCGTATTTACTACAGGGACATCTTCATTCTCAATCAGCTATAATAGGATACAGCTATAATAATGGCATCTCTCTAGCTAAATAAAATGTTGACTGAAAAACAGAAGGTTGGGGTCATTCTTCTCTTTACCTAGCCGTTACAGGACTCTCGGGAATATATGACTCCTGTGCCTGGTGAGCTCTGCTGAAATGGGTCACATTCTCAGAGTTTGTGAGCTGAGGCCCAGATGTCAGATGAGGCACCTAAACTCACACAGCTGATCTGTGAGGGTGACAGGTCACATTCACAAAGACTTCTTTCCGACTTTGTGGGCAAAGGATAAAGCACCTTGCCATGGTAATAGATGATTCTTTTTACCACAGGAGTGAATATTATATCCTATGAGAAAAAGAGAATACAAGATAAACTGAAAATATTGAGGAAAAAAAATTCAAAAGCTACAAATCGAAAATGTATTTTTAATAAAAATTAAGTATCAAGCAAAAAAGAAGTTTAGAAAACTATAGAATAGAGCAATGTTAAAACTGTTAAATGAAAGAGATAAAATGAGAATTATACTCAAAGAAAACAAACACATCAAAGGATGAAATGAAAATGACTTAAATAAGAATGATTTAAGAAAGATGAAATAACGTTTTAAGAAAAAAATTTAAATGCTAAACAGCTAATAGACTAGCTTCAAAAGATAAGCACCAAAGGTAGATAAGTTAAAAAGGTTAAAAATATGAAGATGATAAAGTATAAAAAGATGAAAAGTATAATTCCAAATGATGAAATATGTCAAACTATGTTAAATGAAAGCAAATCAAAGCTACAGACTGTAAAAATAAAATTTCAATATGCGCGCACATGCGTGCGCGCACACACACACACACACGCACGCAGAAAGGAAAGATAAGACACTCATATGTTCCTCACAGGTCAGCTTGTCCCAGCTCAGCAGTTGCCAGACTTCATTTTATTTAATTTTTTTTAATGAAGATTATTTGAGGGCAGAGAGTAGGGTTTCTTCTCTTTCTCTGTGGTGACTGCTTGGCCTTTAAGCAAATGGGAAAACTGAGAGGCCAAGTCCTTCACTAAGAAAGTCAATCAGACCTTGGAAAGCAATTAGCCTCCTGAGCTCTCAAGCTGTAAGGGCCCTAAAGCAATGTTTGCTCCTGGTCGAGCAGAACTCAGCTGGCTCTTGCTGTGTGCTCCTTTAACGGCAGAGAACAGCTCTGGGACGTCAGTGAATGGTTCCTCCCTGCTGGAGCAGCCAAGGGTTTTACTAGTAAGCTTTCTCAGCCTAAATGGGTGGAAAACAGTTACGCAAGGCATCTTGAGGGACATGATCCCATTTTGACATTTTCTCATCCAAATTGGCTCTTTTCTGAAATCTCTCCTTCCCTGGAATTGTCTGAGGTCCAGTAGAATATGGAAAGAGCACTGGATCTAGAGTCATAAGATTCGTCGGGAATTCTGGCTTTTCTCCTGCCACACTCAGTTTTCTCTTCTGTTGGAAGAAGAAGTCTATATACTCCCTGTTGGCCATTCTGGAAAAGGCCTCAGAGGCCCAAGGCAGTATTCAAGCTCAGGGATTAAGTATTGTAGTTTCTTCAATTTTAAATGCTTATACCTCCAAATCAGAGGTTTGATCCAGGTCTCTGGTTTAAAGGTTAATGTGATCTCAGTCCCCGAGTATCCTCCTGGCCTAGACACACATGATTTCCAGCTCACGGCTGGTTGCTTTGGGCTCCCAAATGGCAGGCCAGCTTTCACTTAGTGACACTGGCATTTATCATCATTACCGTTATTTATTATGACTAAAATTACCTCTTCATTTAAATAGCATCTTTCATCATGGAGCTTAAGGCGCTTTGTAGATCACTTGGATTACCCAAACAATTTTGGCTGAAAGGGACTTGGAAATCATAGCGTTATTCTACTGAAGGAAAAATCCACAGGTCGTAGCACATCATTATGAAAGGACATGAGACTGCCTGAATGTATAATGTCTCATCTTAAAAGAGCTCAAAAGTCTCAGTGCCTGAGCCCTCCTTAGAACATACCTAACACAGGGTTTGTCTAATTTCTGCTTGAACTCTTTCTGTGATTGACACTTCATTTTAGTGCATGCCCATTCTGTTGTGTATAGTTATGTGGATTTGTGTTTTACTGTGTTTTGATCTTTGTCCTGTGCGCTTCACCCATTTTAATCATTCCTCTCTTAGGGTACCCCATGGATAAAATCTAATCCCCCTCATCCATGGCTGAGCTTCCCTATATGAAGTCCTCTCCAGCCTTGATGCAGTTCACCTAAATCTTGTGCATATGGTATTTTTTCTGATGTTCTCATCTTCACTGATTTTCTCTGAATATATTTTTACCAGTAGGCTCCTTTTTGTGACACTGTGGTGTTTTGTCCTTTGTAATGTATATATATATATATATATATTTTTTGAGACGGAGTTTCGCTCTTGTTACCCAGGCTGGAGTGCAATGGCGCGATCTTGGCTCACCGCAACCTCCGCCTCCTGGGTTCAGGCAATTCTCCTGCCTCAGCCTCCTGAGTGGCTGGGATTACAGGCACACATCACCATGCCCAGCTAATTTTTTTGTATTTTTAGTAGAGACGGGGTTTCACCATGTTGACCAGGATGGTCTCGATCTCTTGACCTCGTGATCCACCCGCCTCGGCCTCTCAAAGTGCTGGGATTACAGGCTTGAGCCACCGCGCCTGGCCTGTAATGTATTTTAACAGTTTTGGGGGAACAGGTGGTTTTTGGTTACATGGTTAAGTTCTTTAGCGACGATTTCTGGGATTTTGCTGCACCTATCACCTGAGCAGTGTACATTGTATCCAATATGTAGTCTTTTATCCCTCATCTCCCAATCCGTCCCCCTCGAGTCCCCACAGTACATTATATCATTCTCATGTCTTTGCATCCTCATAGTTTATGTCCCACTTACAAATGAGAACATATGATATTTGGTTTTCCATTCCTGAGTTACTTCACTTAGAATAATAGTCTCCAACTCCATCCCAGTTGCTGCAAAGGCCATTATTTCGTTCCATTGTATTCCATGGTATATATATATACTCCACATTTTCTTTTTTTTTTAATTGTACTTTAGGTCCTGGGGTACATGTGTAAATCATGCAGGATTGTTGCATAGGTACACACGTGGCAATGTGAACTGCTGCCTCCATCCCCCCATCACCTACATCTGGCATTTCTCCCCATGTTATCCCTCCCCACCCCTCCAACTATCCCTCCCTTGGCTCCCACAACAGATCCCAGTGTGCGATGCTCCCCTCCTTGTGTGTTCATTGTTCAACACCATCCTATGAGTGAGAACATGTACTACATTTTCTTTATCCTGTGGTTGGTTGATGGCACTTAGGTTTGTTCCATATCTCTGCAATTGTAAATTGTGCTGCTATAAACATGCAAGTTCAAGTGTCTTTTTCATATAATGACTTCCTTTCCTTTGGGTAGATACTCAGCAGGGGATTACTGGTTCCAACGGTAGTTCTACTTTTCGTTGTTTAAGGAATCTCCATACTGTTTTCCATGATGGTTGTACTAGTTTACATTCCCACCAGCAGTGTAAAAGCGTTCACTTTTCACCACATCCATGCTAACATCTATTATATTTTGATTTTTTAATTATGGCAGTTGTTGCAGGAGCAACGTGGTATTTCATTGTGGTTTTAATTTGCATTTCCTTGATAATTAGTGATGTTGAGCATTTTTCCATATGTTTGTTGGCTATTTGTATATCTTTTGAGAATTGTCTATTCCTGCCCTTTGCCCACTTTTTGATGGGATTGTTTTCTATCTTGCTAATTTGTTTGAGTTCTTTGTAGATTCTGGATATTAGTCCTTTGTTGGATGCATAGTTTGCAAAGATTTTTCTCCCACTCTGTGGGTTGTCTGTTTACTCTGCTGATTATTTATTTTGCTGTGCAGGAGCTTTTTAGTTTAATTAGGCCCCATTTGCTTTTGGGTTCTTCATCATGAATTCTTTGCCTAAGCCAACACCTAGGAGAGTTTTTCCAATGTTATCGTCTAGATTTTTTGTGGTTTCAGGTCTTAGATTTAAGTCTTTAATCTATCTTGAGTTGATTTTTGTATAAGGTGAGAGATGAAGATCTGGTTTCATTATTCTACATATGGCTTTACAATTATCCCAGCACCATTTATTGAATAGCATTTCCTTTCCCCACTTTATGCTTTTGTGTGCTTTGTCAAAAATCACTTGGCTCTAAGTATTTGGCTTTGTTTCTGGGTTTTCTATTTTGTTCCATTGGTCTATGTGCCTATTTTTATGCTAGCACCATGCTGTTTTGGTAACTATAGCCTTGTTGCATAATTTGAAGTTGGGTAATATGATACCTCCAGATTTGTTCTTTTTGTTTAGCATTGCTTCAGTTATGCGGGCTCTTTTTTTGGTTCCATATGAATTTTAGAATTGTTTTTTTCTAGTTATTTGAAGAATGATGATGGTATTTTAGTGGGAATTGCATTGACTCTGTAG